AGCAAATGCTTATAGGTACATTTATAGGAAATCTTAAACTACAGAACGCATTGTAATGCAAAATGTAATAAAATTCAATAATATTTAGGGGAAAGTTACCTGTGTCGTATCACTTAAGATATTTTACGTTATATTTACTATTTGGTATTAATTTCTACACACGTTTGGGTCTTGTAGCTTGATGTTTAAGACACTTACTATTAAATGTAATAGTACGTGTCCTACTTCAAACCTAAACCTTACTTCAAGATCATATTAATTCATTAATAAATCATGTTATGACATAGTGTAAAATGTACAATTGAAACAACCGGTCACCTAAATCGTAGCTCCTTTAAAATTATAATTAGGAATTAATATTTTATATTAATTCATACTATACATATATTAAATTACATTCTATCAATAACAAATAAATTGCTACATAATGAAAAATGATTTCTTAAAATTTATTATTTTATACAAATTACGTTATCTAATACTTTAAAATTACATGATATATAACCGTGCCGGTACGGTAAACAGAAATCTTGTGGTGGTACGATGTAGGAAACGTGATCAATAATTTGTATCAAGAAAAATCTTCAAAAACAAAATCTACATAGAAGTAGGTTGAATAGTTCTTTTGGCCAATACAATCGAAGTTGTATATAACTGGTACAATAAAGTTAATTGAAAAGTGGTGAGAAATTGTAGAGTTGTAGTAAACAAGAATATGATATAAATTGAAAAACATAGATTATAATTTTGTCCTTAAAAACACTACGAACTTTCCAAACAATCCAATAGTAAAATCAAGTGTCCACTTTTACCACAAATGTCTCTGCAGCTGCATTGCTTTCTCCATAATTCCGTTAATTTCCTCGATGTACCGAGTGTGCTGCCACATATGTAGCTTGATTTTATTAGAAGAATTTTGCAGTCAGGTCAAACAGATATTTTATTCGTGCGAAAGTGCCGCGGGATTCGCTTTGCTCAACTATCTTAACTGTCTCATCTTCCTGGTGGATTTAATTACAACGCGTTTCCGGTTCAGCGTTTTAACCCTAATGTAGTTTATAATTTAACCAAAACAGTCCTGCGTGGTGTTCTGTTTTTAGTTCACGGAGAATCAAACAGAAATGATGGATTTCCTGCCGTTGCGATTACCTACATTTAATTTCAAACTAAGTAATTGGTGTTTCCGTTCGAGGACGACCATGATAGAATCAACGAATATGGACACTTCAATTTGGAAATCAGATTTTGCGTTTATGTCTCATATTATGATAGAGAGCATTTTATGTATCAGGAAGTTCTTAACTTTATGTGTTTACTTTCTCTACAATAGTACGCAATTTTATTGCATGTGTTTAGAAGTATGTGAAATAATAATGAAAGGAGTATATTTTATAGAAATTGAATGGTAAATACAAATTACAATAGGGTAATTCAGAAGGTGATATGAGGGAGAAAACATATAGTGTGACTTTTAGTAAATGGATTGCGAATGGTCTGGCAAATTTGAATTTGTACAGGACAATTTCAAAAAAATCAAATTAAATAGGAACTTATTTTTCTCATAAAAGGTTTCAATGAACTCGATATAGTGAAAGTACGCCATGAAGCTTTACCACACAATAAAATGTACAAATTAAAGATCGTAAAAATTAATGCTTTAAGTTAAAATTATTCGATTTAATATGTATACCAAGTTCTTATCAATGTTGCGAAAATATTTTCAATATAATGATATAAGACTTAAATTAATAATATTAATTTCATTTTAGGAAAAAAGTACAATTCAGTGGTCTTATTATTTATGAATATATTACATTTAGAAGATAATATTTATTTAAATTATATTATATCTTAATAGTGTAATATCATTATTTAGTGAATTTAATAATTTACATGATATATGTACATGTAAGATCGTCATGACTGAGAGTTCAGTCAAAAACCAAACCTTCCAGAAAGTGTTCTCAAGTCTGTGTTAAGCTTGACTAAATAAATTATTGATACTACAATACTGCATAAACATAAATATCCTAAGTAATATTCAATCAATGTTTGGTTTACGTTCAATCGTACAGTGGACGGCTTAACGCGCTTGTCGACCCTGTTTCGATCGTGTTAGCATGGGTACAGCGTTCAATCAACAGAATGAAAGTTAGTCAACTGGATTGAATGTGCCTGTCCTCCAAATGCTTGGTAACTGAGGGCGTAGGGATTTGTTCTCACATTTGCAAACAAACGACAACGGACTTAACAAACAGCAAATCAGTCTTCTCCGCAACGTTGTTCTCCTATTGTTACCGAAAACTCTGAATCTACATTTGTTGCATGCAGATTTAAATAATTCTGAAGCCAACAAATGTAATGATAAATTTAACGTTATAACGTATAATAAACTGTACATGGATGTACACATTTAATTTATCTATACCTTGTATCTAAATGATACTCATTGAAATTGACAAAAACGTTCATGTTCAAAAGTTATAAGTACATTGTGGATGTTCATACAAATTCATACATTTATGAAATAAAATAGATGTTATATAAAAAGTTTAACAAAATTTTACTTTCTTCTTTATTTATAGTACCAATTCATGTTAATGGCAGTGTCAAGATTTTCTACAATCTTTATATTACCATAATAATGTTGTGATGCAGGAAATCGATATCAATTTTTTGTTAAATACGGTATAGATATTATATGAATGAAGGATTTTTAATATTAGTATATTTGCCTTAGTCACGAAGTTTACGTTTCATAGAACAAATAATTCTAAATTTTCAGCGATAGTGTATATGTTACACATAATTGTACGAACAAACGTGCTGAGATCCATTTATGTAAATGTCAACTCTTATTAATCCTTTGGATACGGCTGGTACTCTCCGCACAATATCAAATAGTCGAGTGTAATTAGACATAGGGTTGTATATTGTTACGCGCAAATTATAGATTATATGTATTTGAAAACACTTTTCTGTAAGGCAAACGAATAGAATTGTTTATTATCAACATCAGGAAGGTTGTATCAAGAATGCGTCCGATTCTATTCCACTCAAGTAAAAACGAACTACAATACCGAGTAAAGTCAACGGTCACTCGTACTCAGATACGAGGTCTGTTAGATCTGATAGCGTAGAAATTTGTATTGTCAAGTTATGTACAAAGTAACATTATTCCCTGCACGATAGTTCCCTTGGAAACCCACAAGGGTAAGGGTATTCCTGTGAACCCACAACTCCGTTATTCCCCTGATCTGAGTTCATGTGGCTTCTTCCCGTTCCCAAAAATCGAAACCCATCTCAAGGGTTGTCGTCTTAGAATTGTGGACAATATCCAGTAGGTTGTGACAGACCAACTGAGAGTAGATCCAGTTGAAGTTTCCCAGCATTGTTTCAAGAAGTGGAAACAACGTCTCCAATGATTTGTGGCTTTCCAAAGGAACTATATTGAAGGGGATAATGTTAAATTGTGGATAACTTGACAATACAAGCTTCTACACTATACTATACTAAAGAGATTAATAAACAGAACTGGAAAGAAGAAATACTGAACTTCTATTATTCAGATCTTGTTACCCTAATCCTCTTGTCCTCATACGTGCATACACGATGGGTCAATAGTTATAAATATGTTTAATATATAAAACATTACCGATTTAGAAAAATGACGTTACTGCCCTTCTAACATAATGCACTTTTCATATCTCTTATACAGGTGCTGAACGTTTTGGGAAAGTTCTCACGTATCCTCTGCAAATGTGACAACCTTACTGCTAAGGTCGTTTAAGACATGGCCTGTATCATGTAATATATTAAGATTGGTTTGTACTACCTATCAGTTCAAAAAGATCAGTTTTCTTTTCTTACTATCTTCATTTAATAATAATGACATGCAGGCTAAATCTTTCACGGATAAATGTGAAAACATTATTAGACGATAATCACTATAAGAGAAATATTCTACTTACATTTGATACTGTTAGGCATAAACTGATAGCATAAACGCTATGTGTCCTTGTTTGAACGGACAGTATAAGTATAAACCAACCTTTAGGTGTACCAACAAGGAAAGCACTATATTTTGTCAAATAAAAAGTAAAATTAAAAAGTATTTACACAAGATGTTTTTTCTTTACTTGAATGAATCAATTATCTATTTACGGGGAAGTAGTTATTTTAAATGCCTATTTAAAATGTTTGATAAACTAAAAAAATTTGTATTGCTTTAAATTAAAAGAGTTCATTAAATATTTTGTCAAATAAAGTACTTATATTATAGGAAATCAGGAGCCTATGCTATTTCAATGATATAAATTTGTCCTCTTTCTTCAATGTTCGCCATTTTGAAAGAAGAAGAGGGTAAACAGGTGTTTAAATTTAAACTGGGATAACAGTGTTCAAAAAAGAAACTAGTGAACTACTTATTCCGCTCTCCCTAGTTAAAATGTCCTATATAACAAATGATCGTTTTTCAAAATTTTTCGAACTATTTGGAGCTCCATATGTTTTTCTCTGTTTAGTTAAAGCTATAATGCCCTGCGTGCTTTTTAGAGCTCTAGCAACAGCCTAATTTATTTGTCCTAATTGGTTTTCAAATGATTTCGCTAGTTTACATTGTTCTACGTAACATCTACTAACTTAGTGTTAACTTATGACTTATGTTTATGCCTCAATTATTTCTATTCAAGATAGGTGTAAAAAAAAAATCGAATAAATATTATTGAAACCGTTTCCTGTATTAAAATGGCCAATGATGAACACCAAGGGCGACACAAAGAAAATTATAAAACCTGATTTTTCTCGGATGTCTGAATATGTCAGAACAATTGAGCTAAGGAGGGCAGTACTGGTACACATAATATTACATACCTACTTTTATAACATATTAATTGACAAGCATAATAAAATTCACCTAACATCATTGACACATCGTGTATAGTTTCACGTAGACGCGTAGCATATAAAGAACCAAGATGGAGTACGAATCCCGTACTTACCTTTCCCTCTGCGCGCTGGAGCAGGGCACCAAGATTTTGCCCATGCTGTTCAGTTTGCCTTTTGGATCGCACAGGTTCCCGGAGGACTGGGTTCTACGGCCAGTCAGGCCCTTCCCGCTGTGCCTGCTCAGATTCGAGCCCATGGTCGCCGGTTCCGTTTCCGGTTGAGCCTGGTTCGCTACTTCGCCAGAGTTCACGGCATTTCCTGGTGTGTTCTCCTTGTTCGGCCAGTCAAAGTACTTGTTGATGTCCTTGGCATTGACCTTGCTGGATATCGGGGGCGGAGGCGGTGGAGCCGGTCGTGTACGTTTGCCAGCAGGTGCCGCCTGAAGCTGAGGACGGCAGCCACGGCGACGATTGCCTGGCGATTCGGTGCTCAACGAAAGTGTCTGCACTTTCCAGCTATCCTGGCCGCCGCTCGTGGGATTCACGGTTACGACTTCCTCGCCTGTAACAACCAGACAATCGCGTTTTACAACACCAGTTCCGTGACGCCTTACTGTTACTGTCCGCGACGGACGCCCGAGCGAAGCTCCGTTTGATTGCTCCTGTACCGTTAGCGGTTTTAGGAATCTCATTACTTGGCCGTGGTTCGTTAGCGAACGAGGGGAACATGTTCTGAGATCTGATCTTTTTTCGAGGGACAGCACGGAATGAATGGAATTGTTCGTGAGATAATGGTGAAGTTATTGTTCATTTCTGGGAGAGTGAATATGATTTAGATGAATCGTTCGCAAATGATGGGGGAGTGGAGGATGTTACGGGGCGAAGAATTCTATGGGTTTGCTGTATGAATGTTCTTTGGAAAATATGTTTTAGTAATTTACTTGATATACAGGGTGTTGATAAAAATGAGGGCCACTTCCATACGATGGATTCTACGTGCAAAAGTAAGACGAACATCAAAATGATGATTTATTCGAGGCTTTGTTTATGAGTTATGAATTGTGGAAAATACGGGCGAAATACTGTTTCTTTAACCATCTATTTGTCAATTTGTGTATGCATATAATTCCATAACCAATTTTCTTTCATATAAAATAAGTAGGTACTTTCTAATCTTTAGAGTGGTAAGTACAAGCATGTATCAAAATCACATTGCATTCAGCAATAATGTAACATCAAATACTTATATAATATGTATTTATTAATTATTGAAATCTTATTGTAATTTTCGATGATGTATATGTGCCATCTCATATTTTGTACCAATAATTGACAACAAATTTTGATACTATAATTTAGAGAAAATGTTATAATAATAGGTTGTCATGCAATGTTGCCATTTACACAGAAGACGTTCGTAAATGTAAATTAGAAATATTACTTATCAATACATATTTCTGAGTACAACAGTCAAGATTAATATAGGCAACGTATTATCAGAAATATATTAAAATTTATTAGTTAAGATTAAATAGTAATTGTAATTATTCAACACCTTTTTGTTAACATTTATGATTAAATCTTATTTTGGAAGCACTTTATGTTATTGACATCCCCATAAAAATGAAAGAAATCGAAAACCTGTTGAAACACTAACATATGGCGAACATTAAGGAAAAGCTTTCTGTAAGAAACAGTGCTCCAATTGTTCTTCACGAGCTGTTTCGCTGGTGTCGGGGACTCGTTTGGAGTTTTCAATGGGTTTGGATCCTAGCCAGCCTTTCGATAGGGTCATCAGAGTATTTCGAGGGTTGATTCGTAGTAGAACTATTTCTCGTGGTATTTACTATGGTTGAATTTTCCTCGAAGTTCGCAATCTATGCACTTATTTTAGTATCAATAAATAAATATATACTTATCTTTCACTTATAATCAACATCTAAATTACATATCTCAAGACGTCCTGAAATCGAATAAACTTTTCCTGGTTATTTTTTTTTTACTTTCAATACCAGCGGAAATAATTTAACTGTTAATTATAAGTTAGACACCCTGTATATTTATATAGTACGAAATTGAAAGAAAACGCCTACAACACAACTTATCATAGCTTTGAAAATTCCTAGACGCTCTACTCTGAAATTTGAATAATTAAAAATACAGTAGAGCTTTCCATATCTGAACATCCATTATCCGAATGCCTTAATATTCCAACGTTCTACTATCCGAACGTTCTGTTACCCGAACGGAGTGTCTCCCAACCCATTTCGAGCACTGATTAAAATAATAAACTATTTTTATTTTATCTTTGCATCGATCATCGTCTTCGTGTTCGCTTATACTAATTTAAAGTTTACTCGTACGTATGTATCTAAACACGCGACAAGGAATTCATTATTGAATTTAAATCTTGCTAAATATCTTCAAAAATAGCGGTCAAATAAAAAAACGTTCCAGACAAAAATTGTTTATTCTTTCGCATGACTTAATGATCTGTTAACAAAATACAGGTATCCATTTAAAAAAGTGAAGATGACCTTCAAAACGTTCACCAGCTTAACAATAAACAACGTCATTCTTTTTCACCCTCAAAACCAAACAACTTTTGTCTAAAATACTTTCTTATAAAATGCTTTGTTTCCATGATATTTCCATGTGTCAACTTAAATGCCCCACCCTGGATAATACAATCTAAATTGTCCAAAGAATTTATCCTAGACTCCCGACGTTCGATATCCCAGTTTCTCGCCGGTTTACTGTATCTTCAGCAAAGCATTGTATCCGAAGCTTTCGAGGGCCATTTCTGCCGCGATTCAATGTTAAAACCCGAGTTACGTGGAACGGCGGAGTAGTGTACTGCGAGAGGCTAAAGCGATTCAAAACAATCGGATTCCTTGTTCCATTCGAATGTTTAAAGGACCGTGGTTGCGCGGAATGCGGCATTCAGAACGCATAACGTTAAATGTTTATGTTTATCGGGTCCGATTCATAGGCGCCGCACTGTATAGCGATGTAATACTAATATCCCCGGCGCACGAGAAGCTCGTTGCATAACTGTATTATTAATGAGGGACGTATGCGCGCGTGCGCGCGCACACGTCGTCATGCATTCATCGAACACAGAGCTGAATTGAAAGCGGCTCCTGTTGCGACCGTTTGTTGCGTCTGTGGACGATAAATTCTTTCTTTTGTTGATTCCAGAACGGAATCACTTGTGTTCCAAGAACAATAGGGCAAGTGCAACTTACGAGGAAAGTTCTGTAACCTAAGAATTCTTCAGTATTCTTTTCAAACTTTTTTCAACAATTTCTTTCAACGATTTTAAACTGAATTTAGTAAACATGTACCTATATTATTCGTTTTATTTGAGTCGACGTGAAGTACTGTTCCGTTGGTATTAATATTTAAGGTTTCGAATAAATATAACGTTTGCCATAAGAATAGAATTTCTTTTGTGTCCGGGAAAATATTAACGATAAAGTAATTCTTGAGAGTGAAGTCGTAAACGACATCGTATGACAAGAGGTTAAAGTGCGAAGAAGGTCACGCACGTAGTCGGTGCAGTTAGCCAAAGCAAAGATCAAGACCGACGTGTTTTCTGGGCCCGATAATCGTGGCCTAACCTAGGTCACTCTGAAAGTTACTATCTGGTGACGATCGAAAATGAACGGACAGGGCCACTGTTTCGTTGGACGTCGATTAGAACTGTCATAAAACGAGCTTTCGATTCCCTTTTATGTTATTAAGAAGAATAAATAACATATAAATAGTTGTGACAATGAAGAAAAAAGAAATTGTATCATAGCTAAGCGCCTCTATACTTCTTTTTCTTACATTTTACAGGTTTTTAAGGAACCTCGATAGAAATATCGGACAATTTTTGATTTTGCTGCTTTTTGGGTCTTCAGGGTGAAAGCACGCCTTAAAGGTTAATGTGTGTTTCTCTATTTTCCTGCATGTCTTGAAAACTATAGTAGTGGTTTTTTATGCTGTATACAACTGGATAATGATGTTATTAATGATTTGCTTATTTACTTATTTATTTAAACAACAAATTTTTGATAATTTCATTGCACATGTTTATAGGGCGTAAAAAGTTATTAAATTCTCATTCTGACGATTATTTTCGAGATATACAGGAAAATAGGAAAAGACACACTGGCCTTTAAGGGGTGTTTTCAGCTTCAAGAACCAAAAACTAACGATAAAAATGCTTTAAAAGGTTAAGTGTACATTATTAGGTGCTTGGATGAGTAAACCATTGCTTTTCTTAAATTGAATAATTTTTTCATGTTATCTCTTAGTAGATATGGTCATTGTTCTCTAATATCTTATGGGTTGATTTACAGAAACAAAAATTAAGTAGAAATTTCTTTCGTTTCTTATACTGAATGCTAGACTGTTGGGTATGCTATAAATGCATAAAATATTGCTATTTAATTAAGAAAGTGGCAAAGTACTCATTGGTGCATCTAATAACAGCGCATGAATTGCATATAAGCTATTGTTCGCGACGGTGACTTGTGTTACATGATAGTTGTACTAATGATAGCTGAATATTAGTATAAAGTGTTGTATACTTCAAGGAAGCTCGTGTGAGCCATACTGCTTTGATCATTTATGATGTGCTAAAACGATATTTTCCTCATTCTTGTAATTATGTTCAGCTAATTTGCTACTAATTGATCACTTAAAAATTGAATTTGTCTCATTAGAAATTGCAAAATGCATAAGCAACTTAGGGAATATTATTTCGTATGCTTTATTCTGATACTGATAGTGTTTGAGTTTTGAAAGAGTCAATTATAACGTTCGTTTTTATTATCTATTTTAGCCTTCTCACAAAAAAGTAATTCTTCTCGAATAAGTGAATACAAGTCTCAGTATACATTTTTGAATTGTCAATAAGTGCTTTAATTTATCTGTAAAAGTTGTTATTTTTTCGTTTTCTACTTCACTTAAAGTACTTGTTACTATTATATGGAACGTCATTATGTTCTATGGATCCATATTTACATGGTTATAGTTTACATATAAATCATATTTCGACAGATTAAATAAAGAAAAGAAAGAGAGGAACGGTTCTGAAAGAACTTATAAATGAATGATATGTGTACGCTATCGTACTGTAAGTGTTTTCATAGTAATAACAGTAATACACCGAGACCTTTCTGTTCCGTTCATGAAAATAGAACAGAATCACGTCATTAGAAAGCACATCGTGTAATTAAGTCTGTAAATTAGAAACTGAATTGTGTTCGTTGCTCACTCCGCGGGCGTAATCTTGCATCTAGGGAAAAAATAAGTTAACGTCGTTCGCACGGTGGAACCTTCAATCCGTATCAGAAAATTGGGTGAACCTATTTAGTTCCTATGAAACCTTAATTAATATTGTACAGTTACTGATTATTCAGTCAATGAACTCTATACGCATCGTGCGTTCGACTCTATTGTGTGATACTGTATCTTAATTAATCTCGATCGATATTAATTAATTGGAGAAAGAGGGTCCGATAACATAATAAATTACTTCTTCGATAGAAATAATGTTCCCTAACTATT